TCCATGAAGGGCAGTTAGGGTGGGGGGTTCTCAGGAGGGGGCGGTCAGGGACAAGAAGCAGGGAGGCTTAGATAGGGGGTGGGGCCCTAGGGGGCAGTTAGTAGCAGGGGTCCCAGGAGGGGGCAGTCAGGGAACAAGGAGCGGGGGGGGGGTTGGAGGTTCTGAGGGGGGCAGTCAGGGGGTGGGAAGTAGGAGGGAGTGGATGGGGCGGGGCTAGAGTGGGGCTCCTCCCCCTCTTTTCCTCTTTTTTGATTGTGCAAATATGGTAACCCTAGTTATGCACATGCTTAAGGGCTTTGCTGGGTCTGGACCATGGTGCAGGAGGACTCTATTTAAAACTTGCCTTCTGAGACACAGTGTTAAGAGTTTATTTCTCTAGCCAGGGAGTCTGCTTTCATTAGAAAGCAATTAGCTGCATTAAGGCGCAGAGATAAAATGCTGGCGTCTGCCTGGCACTATCAAAGGGCGCTTTGCATGAAATGCCATTCTTTAGAATTCTAAGACAGGGTTGTCAGAACTTTCCACTTTCCAGGGTTGCAGTCAACACAACCATGGAGCTGAGTGGATCTGCTGGAGGATTGTGCTTGAGACACAACATAACCTTGCAGGACAGACAGATACAACCTTAGCAAGCCTCCCCCCAAACTCCGCTCCCCTATCTCAGCATCTGTCCACACAACAAAAGCTCTGCACGAGCAGTAGCCTACTCGAGCTCCTTGAGGGTAACAGCAGCAGTGAAGACAGCGCAACAGAACCTGGGTACGTACTCAGCTTGTTAGCTTGCTCTAACGCCCCTGCAGTGCTGACTTCACTGCTAGTGCTACAGCTCGAGTAGGCTACACTGTGCACAGCTTTTGCTGTGTAGACAGACCCTCAGATTAATTAAATTTGGGCCCTCCACACTTCCATCTCCCCCCTTTATATTTACTTTCCTTATCGTCTCTCCTATTTAATTCTTTATTGGTTCTTACACTGTGCTCCTCTCTGTAGTATCTGTGCATCTCCCAGTAGTGCCTCAGGCAATGCAATTCATGTCTGTTACATGTGTCCTCACCATTAATGTACCGTTTAAAGTAAGGGCTAAATACTTAATTTCCAAATTCATTTGTCTTTGACATAGCAGTAGCAGTCAGAGGCCCTAACAGAGAGCAGGGTCCCATTGTGCTAGGCACTGCATGTATACTTAGTCCCTACCCTGACGAACTTATAATGAAAGCAGACAAGAGGTCGGAGATAGGAAGCATTATTATGTCCATTTTACAGTTGGGGAACTGACACCGAGAAAGATTAAGTGACTGGCCCAAGTTCCCAGAAGAAGTCTGGAGAACTGAGAATTAACCCTGGGTCTCCCAAACCCCAGTCTATTGTTTTAACTACAAGATCGTCTTTCATTTCTACTCCTCCCCCTTTTAGGAGACGGGAGACCAAATGAAGGCTTCTTACAAAAATCCCCCGTACAAAACCCCTGCTTAACAATAAAAGGGATTTTTTTATTTATCTATTTATTTAATAGTTTTTATCCCAAAGTAGTTCTCCTAAAAGTAGCTAGGGAGCACCACCGACTGTGTTCAGAACCTCAGGATGAAAGGTCATATAATCATATAAATCCACGTTTATTATGTACCAATGGAAAAGTTTTACTCAGTGCTGAAAACCAAACAGGATAGTTGTGAAATAACATGAAATGAAAATCATACAGGCGAGAATCTCTCCTGTCCTGAAGCTCTGTTCAGCAGAGGAGCAGGCGCAGACATGCGAGGGAGCTAATACCACTTCCCTGATTTCCAGTGTCAGATCTAGCTCTGATGCAATTACAGCAGCCCAGCAGCAGCTCTAAAGTTGCACCCTTGATATAGTGGAGCTCCGTTCCTTATTGTCCTGACACACCCCTCTCAATTTGTCCAGGTGGCTGGGAGAACTATAGGCGGCAGGCCCTAGTTTGCAGCCTCTATTGGAACAAGCAGGGAGTTCACCTGCAACGGGGGAATTCGCTGCTCGCCGCCTACAGCCTATTTGCACCAAATCTGGCCCTCCATCTTTATTCTAAATTATGCCCATTAAATCAAAGAAGTGACTGAAAGCAACACGCCTTTCTTCCTCCCTTAAACATCTCCGTTGCTTTTTAAAATACTGCAGATTGCATTCAATCGGTTATAAATCCCATACATAAAATTGCACATGATGAGGACTCCGAGAAAGCGGATTCATGTGCATCTGTTACAATGCACGGTGGGGATTTCAGTTGCATCTTATAAATATTTGATAGTATCTAAATCATTTATGGCTCTGTCAGGGGTCATTTTACTTGTTTTAGATGAATAATTAAAAGGATAATTAGGAGGACGTACAATCTGAAATGTTCATCTAATTGTTCATTTTACAGTGTTTCTTACTACCCTGTGTCATATGACATGTGCGCCCCACCATCTCTCTGCCTCAGCATCACTCTGTTATGGTCAACAGATTTTTCTTTATGTAAACTATTTCTAGCATTACCCAGAACTGCAATATTCAAGTACCGCAGTATAAGACTTCTTGACATTTTGTCTTTACACAATGATTTAGTCAGGGAACACAGTAGAAAAATCAGCCCATCGAAAGTCATTTCAAAGTAGGCAGGCCATTCGTCCGGCTTTAAGCCAAACGGTCCTGTTTTTCAAGGTTTGTCCCCTGCCCCACACTGAGACAAAACCAGACATGGTTTTGTCCGGTATCACAGAAGGGGATGCCATTTTGAAGAGTGTGCTGCCCCACTCCCGCCAGCGTGACTTCACACATTCATGTATTTGAGGTCATGTGGGGG